ATAGTACTTGTAGAATAAACGAAATAAGTATTAAACAATAATACTCTTGTATATAAAATAGGGGGAAATTGTTTGGTGCATAACCAGAAGTATACTTCCGGTTTTAGTCAAGAACAAAAATTGGAAATACACTCCCGATGTGACCTGCAATTTAACAGGTTTTTCAATGGCGAAGTTGGCGTCCAATGGGGATAAAAAATAATCATTGATCGTCAAAAAGACATGGCTAACACTTCTGTATTGACTTCAAACATTGCAAGAACTAAAAAAATTACATTTTACTACCCTAAAACATAATTTGTATGTAAAATCAAAAAAATTCAATAATACTCAAAAATAACTTACAATGATTGATTCTCCTTGGTTCATTCCGATTATGTCTGATGATTTCTTTATGTGTTGCGATAAATTGATGGATTTTAAAACAATGAGTATTTTGGAACAATGGGGTTTTGGGAGATTTTGTGTTTTGTTTGTATTTGTAGCAAATGAGAAAGGGGAAGAGGTAGCGCGAGTATATGCCAAAATACATATCGAAAATACACTTACAGTTTGGAATCAGTGTTGCATTTCTGGTTCGTATCAATGTGGTAGGGTGTGACTTCTTAGAGTGTAATTATTTAATTCATTTAAAAGTGTAACCGGAAATCCAACATCGGTTTGAATATCGTAAGTGTAATTTCAATTTGTATGTTTTTTTTATATGATAGGTGATGTTGTACCCCAAAATTTTCCCTCCCATATTCTTCAAATTTTTGACAAGCATCATCTCAATTTGCTCAAGTCTACTCAAGGGTTGCGCAGTCAAACCATCCTCCTAAGCCAGTCAAAATTAGGGTTTTGGTTCCTGCAAGGAAGTTGAGGTTTTCAAGGGCTCAATCAAGTCCCATATGCTCATACACTTTGTCAAGCATCCACATGTCAAGTTTCAAGGCTCACAAGGTCAAGTTGCACAGTCAAAAACCCTAATTACTCCACAGTCAACTGCAGGGGCAAAATGGTCATTTGGCAGTCAAAAGTCAAAAATTTTGGTCAACATCTTATTTTGAAGCCACAATCATCATTTGATCAAGTCTTGATCATGATTTCACAAGAATGGCTCAAAAATCATCAAGGTGTCAAAAGTTTCTATTTTTGGACAGTAGAAAAGTCAACTGTAACTTGACCAAGGCATAACTTTTTCATGGTTCATCAGAAAAATCTCATCCAATGCTCATCTTGAAGGGGAGGACATTTCCTACAACTCATCTTCACATTCCAAATCCAAGAAATGCTCTCACTAAAAGTTATCAATTTCAACATTATAGGTCATTTTCAAAAGTCAACAAAAAGGCACTTTAAGTCAAAGACCATAACTTGAGATTGGTAAATCAAAATGACATGGGACCAAAGTAATTGGTTAGAGTACTTCAAGAGCTTTCCAAAATGTCAAAGAACATGTTAATAGCTTCAAAATTGAGCAAGATATGCATTGGAGAAGTTGGGAAATTTTTGTGAAATGGCCAAAGTCAACTATCCTTGAAATTTCATTTTTGACAAAAAAGGCCCACTTTTTCCACTTGGTTCAGCTTTGCCATGCCTCCCACGTGTCCCATGATTTATTTCAAGATTAAAGATTAATTTTTATATTTTTATTTAATTTTATTTGATTTAATTCATTTTAAATCTTTAAAATTCAAATAAAAATCAAAGAAATTAATTAAGGGATATCTTTGAGTTTGAATAGCCTTAATGCATCATGAAACACATACCAATTTCGTGTACATCCTATTTGAAGCATAAAAATTCAAATTTGGAGCAAAAAAGGCAAGTTGTTCAATGGTGGTTATGGAGGAAATCAAGACTTCATTGCAAGGCTTCAAGGCTCCTTATTGTGATTGATTCTCATTCATATACACATATGCAAGCCTTCCCACCCTCATGGACGAAAAAAAGGCATCCCTAAAACGGCAGAGCAAAAACTCAGAATTTGTCAAAAAAGTGTGAGATCTAAAGCAAGGTTGCAGGCAGTTTCAGACAAAACAAAGCACGTGAGATCCTTCATTTCCATACCCTGAAACTAAAGAGACCTTTACCACGCCCTGAGACTCCATATCAAGCACTGTAAGTCATCACAAACTCACCCCTGTACACGAAATCGTGTTTTTCTATTCTTGCATTTTTTCTGGAAAATAATGGCATAATCATACTCCTTGTTTGATTTCTAACATAACCATATTGTTCAATTTCATTTTGGGGCTTTGTATGATGATACCCGCATCTAGGGTTTGCATTGTTTGTTTTTAGGTATTCTTTCTCCAGGCACAATCAAGACAAATCATAAGCATGAAGGAATTCAGGAGGTGGAAACGAGATCAGCTATGGTCTTGAAATGGATTTTCATGGCCTGAGGAGCATTTTCAGAGCAAGCCTGCGAAACCACCTGCAGATAAAAATCCGCAGTGGCCAAAGCATAAGGACCATGGTGCTCAGGAGTCAACGTGGGCGTAGGCAACCAGAAAAAGTCAATGTGGCTGAAGATTCAAATGGGCCTCAAATTCCTATCACACCCTCCAATCTGGCCCAAAACCCCCCTTGGGTTTGCTTTTCCCTTTTTTATTATTTTATCATTTTCTTTTTTTTATTTTATTTCTTATTCCTTTTTATTGACAATTAACATAATTAACTCTTTTATAAAAAAATCCAAAAAAAAAAAAGTAACTAACATTATTATTATTATTATTAATTTTATTTTTGTAATTAAATACTAATAAATTGAATTAATTATTAATTAGGCAACTTTAACTTTTTTTTCTTAATAATTAAAATAAGTTTAGAATTAGGTTTTTAATTAACTTTTAATTTTATTTCCTTTTATTTTATTTCATTAAAAAATATAAAAACAAAAAAACATTTTTTAATCAATTAATTAATTAGTTTAATTATTAGTTATTAATTTCATTTAATCACAAAAAAAGGACAAAAAATTCATTTCTTTTCTTAAAAGGGTCAAAACCCTTAGGGCGTTCCCGATTTAATTTATTCGCGCGCATTTACTTTATTTTGATTATTATGTAATTGCTTCCAAGAATGTAATAGTAAATAGGTTTACCGCTTTATTTAATTTCTCGTACTTATTTACCAAAACGGGTCTTTGTATTTTTGGCGATGTATAGACCCGCGCCTTGTAATAGCATAGAATTTATATTTCCGCAGTTTACTTTCCGCACCCCTAACTGTTAAATGCATGAAAGAATGTATGTAAATAAAATCAATCCGTAGCTCACAAATAACATGTACAAAAACATTAACTGAAAAACAACACACAAAGCACATGCCACTCCTAGGGTACGCTTCACTCGTTGCCTCGAAACGTGGTCATCAAGTATAGGGTGTCTTAGAGGTCGCTCTTTTGTCCAAAAGATCCAGTCGCCTCGAAACGGTTGCCTCGGATAAAAAAGGATCTAGGACATTAGGGTTACTTCTAAGGTGTCCTACCATTGCTTCGGTGACCACACATGTCCCTTAATCGAATTGACCCGAACAACTCCAACGATGGTGCTACCTACCTCTCAATGGTCGGATAGCACTATCTAAAGGACTCTTACACAGCTTAATTCCTTAGGGTAGGTAGATTCTCATAGGTACTTGCTCTTCTCAAAAAACAAACAAAAAATACTTTTCACACCTCACACTTTCTAAAAGATTTCAAACAAAATTTTCACACTCTTGAGGATACAAGAGTTACTTAGAAATTTTTCAAACGAAACTTTTTCAAAACCCACACACATTTGAAAAGCAAACATCTTTTGAAAACATAAGAGCAAGTACCTAAGAGCCCGTGGATAACCACGGATAGAAAGGGTGCTAACACCTTCCCTTTCTATAAATCTACCTCCCGAACCGAGAAATATTCTCGAATAAGGAATTTTGCTGTGCTTTTGTCCTTTCCATGTTGGAGAACATAAAAGACCACAGTGGCGACTCTTGCTTACCGCGACATTTCGTGAAACCAGCTAAAAAACAGTCAGTTCTATTTCCACCGATCACAGGTGCGCACTGAAAATACATTTCCGATTCCTGAAAGCATATTTGAAAATTCATGCTGATATCTAAAAAACACTTAGTGTACATTAAAAGAATTCTCTTTTATTTTAATATTAAAAAATATTTTTAATATTTAAACGTTTATTAACCAACTTTATAACTTCATTAACCAACATTTTATTTTTCATTAACCAACTTTATTGTAATACCAAATTATTTTTAATATTTATAGGTTTATTCCAACTTCATCATTTTATTAATCAATATTTTTTTCTTCAATAACCAATTTTATTTTACTACTAAATTTTTTTTAATAATTAAAATTTTAATAATCAATTTCGTCATTTTATTAATCAATTTTTTATATTTTATTAACCAACTTTATTATACCAAGAAAAGTCATTCTTACTATTCATTTGCATTGTTCATTAATTTTTCGGGGTACAAATGAATAGAAGGTTACAATTGTAGTGCATGTTTGCGTTGTCAAGATAGCAAAACTGTAATTTGATATATAATCATAATTAAACACATTTTTGAGACACTATACCCAATGTGGTATATTTCTAACGTGATACATAGAATAACGTTTAATTTAATATTCCTGAGATCAGACACAGTATATCATTAAAATCAATTAATCAACCCATCTAATCATTTTCTAAAAAAACCTTAAAATATGCCATTTATTATGAGACAGGAAATAAATAACTTTGCTAGATATATTTTCGTCTACCTCACGTGGTTTTCAACAAAAAATATCAGAACCTCGTGGGCATCACATTCAAAGGAATAGACAAGAAAACTTCCAAGCTTCATCTTGATTCCAAAACCCAAACTTCACCATCCCAACCTCTTAACAAATAGAATAAACCAAACTACTATGATTTACAATTTTACAAAATCATACCCGATCACATTCAAAGTTCACATGCAATAGATTAGACTCCACATAAGTAAAAACAACATTAGAATTATCGTTGTATTTGCCCTGAATTTCTCCTTGATCTTGAAGGAGGAACATTAAGATCAATAGACTGTTGTCTCTGTGGCTCTTCTGGCTCTTCTTGTTTCTGTGCCACCTGCATATAATAATGACATCAGAAAACAGGGCAAATCAGAAGGAATAATGTATGATATCAGGCACAACCTCCCTCGACTAATAATTTATATTAAACATATTGTAATGATAAAAAAGCTACACGCGGGATGAAGAAAACGGCAACCTTTGGTAATGAAGTCGATAAACTGCGTAATGTTCTTTGTGATTTGTTGTGAACCCGATGTTTCTTCTGCATTTCCTGAAACTCATTTAACCTTTCAGTAAAGTTTAATCCACTATATGAGCTCCCACCGTCTTCAGTTACATGACCATCTTTTTTCTTTTCATCTGGCATCTGAGGAACAAATTCGTAGTAATCCCCAGAAGGCATTCTATTCAATTGCTCACGATTGAAAGAATATGACGGCACAGCTTTTAAACGAGTTTTTAGTATCTTAAAGGCTGCACTTTGCTGCGTGGTGATGTAAAATTAAGAATCAAGATATACCGTTAATTCAAAACTTATACAGGTAGATTCTGAAAGACATCAAAAATACTGGATATGTCATTACATATGTAGATTGAAGGTTTATTTGTATTCCATGTGTCAAAACATCGAACAGCTAGATTGAATATTTCTTTGTTTACAGGCAAGGCCTATTATACCCGAATATTAAATGTCTTGTGAAAGGTGTTAAAAGAGAAGGGAATACATATAATCTATCACATCCCTTCCTCTGAAATAACTGCAATTTATTTAAAATGGAGTAATATACACCCTAACATGCTTTCCATCCCACAATCACTGGTGTAAATAAACTGTCCTAAAATGACCGACTCTTCCAATTATCAATACAGTTATTAAAACAGCTTTTTCAGTTATGGTAATAGTACATCAATACTTGACAAGGACAATTTAGTAAAAATACTATTCTCTCTCTTTCATTTATAAACTTTTTCAATGTGTGAAATGGTCAAATAGGTTACTTATTGTGGGATAGGGGTAGTAATCAAATTCTACAAAGAAAGGATGTTGTTGGAATACAACTGACTCTTACAAGAGAATTAACGTGATAACAACTTTTTAATTGGAGATACCTGAGGAAGCAACATCAGAAGACCATACAACGATTTGAATAGCCATAAATATCTTCCAGGATCGAGAAGCTGCAAAATTGAAGTTCTAGATACATGAGAGAAGCCAGTGAAAAATAAAACTATTCTTTAGCCGTAACTATTATAAACAATGACTTCTCCGTAGTCATCATATTTTACCAAGTACAGAGGTGTAATCACAAAACATAAAATACACAGATAAAAGATAGTATGTTTTGATTAAGTACCTGCAATCTAAGGTAAGCAAAGATTGGAGTTTCCAGCAAGCGAATCAATTTATCCAGTTGGACCAAAAACTTGACATTTATATCCTCCTCTATCAGAGACTGAATCACAGTACTGGCATGTCGGTAAGTCTGTTCAGGAAGATGCAAAATTAATAATACATACTCGGGCGCGTTATCAAAATAAAGCTAAAGCTAAAAAAAGTGTTCACTGTGTCCCCAATTGCGCACATACGCTAAAGAAAGAAAGACTTAAAATGGAAACAAATAAACAAGACAAGTTATAAAAATGAGTTGTTATTTTAACACAATTTTGACCTTAAATCGGATGGTTAACGCAGTTCAAATATGTGGTTAATTACGTTTAGTGGATGGTTAATGAATATAACAAGATGCTGCAACTTATTAAACATCTACCGAACACATTTAACCATGACTTCGAACGTATATTGAATACAATCAGGATTAATGAATATAATTCAAAATCATGGTTAACTGTTTTAGTTGATGGTTAATAAGTTATGTCACTTTGTTATACTCACCCCAACCATTCACTAAACATGATTAATCATATATTTAAATGGTGTTAACCAGCGAAATTTGATGTCAATTGTGGGTCAAAATATCTTTTTCCTATAGATACATACCTGAGCTAAGAAGCAGAGACTTATAATTGCCATTGGAGAATGACGCCAAGAGGCATACAAAGAAACATACAAGTCTTTCCCAGCAGGATTTACCAGTGATTGCTTCAAAAGATCTCGAATCTCAGACAATTCTGATGATGTAAGTAAGATCAAATTCAATGCCTGAAAAAAAAATCAAAGGGAAGAAAAACATATACTGAATACAGTATCACTACATAGGATTGTTCTCGTGAAAAACAAGAAAAAAAAATATAACAATGAGGTGAAGGCAACAAAAAGATTATATTGGCAATAGTGTCCCAGAAATGTTAACCCCAAAAGCAAACCAAAACCAAAACCATCTAGGCTAGATATATTAATAAAAGGTGTTAACTCCTCTAGAGTTTTATAAAACCGTACAGAATTATTAGGTCAACAAAAACAAATTTCCATCAAATAGCCCATGAGCATTGCAATCTTGCAATTCCAATTTCATTAGAGTTCCGTTTAAGTTAGCTAAATATGTTGTTGGTCGGACCAAAATTGTACTCCCAACTTGGTCCCTCAAAATATTATGATTTTTCCATTTAGTCCCTCATTTTCAAAAAACATTCTCGAACAAGTCTTCATAAATTAATTTTTCTTACCAAATATTCTCTCCATTACACCTCGCCATCACCTAATCAGCACTATTTTCCGGTCCCTAAAAATATCACAATGACCTTAACAAATTCACAATAGAATTTTTTTTTTGGCCAAATGCTCTGTCTAGTTGTCTGCCACGTGTGAGATATTAACAACGGAATGCAATGAAATATTAACAAAAAGATTGTTTGGTAAACAAAATATCTTGTGGAGGGCTTATTTTGAAAAGAAAAAAAATTTAATAGGGAGGGAGGGAAAATGGGGAAATAGCAATATTTTAAGGGATCGAAAAAATGTCTACTCAATAATATTTTATAAAACGTGGATTTTGGATGTATCCACAAGATCCAATAGCCTTAAAAGGTTAGTCAGCTGTGTCATAAGAAAACCAAATGCTTCCCATTAATGTAGATAGTTCTATCTCTGCCATCCACTTAACACGGCATATTAATGGAACGGCAACATTGAAGTACAATGCAGCCTTTTATTTAGCTCTGGAAAAGTCGAACAAACCTGAATCATAATTGATGCAAAATCCAAATCTGATTCTCCTTCTAATATTGTAGAAAGTTCACGGTAGACTCTCTCAGCATTCAAAAGCACACAAAGGCGGCGAATTATCAAAGCACCGCGCCTGGAGTTAATTGTATAGAATGAAATTTGGAGTTAATCGTATAGAATGAAATTTTAATGAAAGGATAATTATGTTACAGAAAAACGCATAGGATAGGATGAAGAAAAGTAGCTTACTTCTCCAAAAGAGAATGATCTAGCCTGAAACTGTGCACAAGGAAAACGACAAGTTGTCGGAAGTGCTGAGGGTCTTTTGCAATGCATGCATGAACATCAAGAACTAAAAGAACAACCTATTTGATATAAAAGAGTTCAGATAAATTAATGACAATTCAAGCTAATGATTTCTAGTTTCCGCAATTATAAATATAGCATGCAAGAGAATCCTAAAAAATATCACTTCTTTATTCAGTCAGCACAAGAGCAATGTTTAAATACCAGACCAGAGACTAAACAGATGAGATCTCAATGTCATGCTTCAATCAGTTAAACCAAGTAGATTTGTGGTTGAATCCCAGATTGAACAGTGATTAACAATGATAATTTTCAAACCAGAATCATAGTTGGCTCACATTGTTTATTAGTAAAGAAGACATGTTCAGGAAATTAAAATGGCCTTCAAGTCCAATCATTGGCCTTGATTTCAGATAACATGAAATGGCCAACTCCAATAATGCAATAGGAGGAGAGTGGATAGTAAAACAACCATAATCTGAAGATAATGGGGGTAAAATATGTAATTTATTTATCCTCTAAATGTATATATACTCAACTTTTTAAAGAAAATATATCCAAAATTGCAGACAACATATCTTCAATATTATTTGAAAGTCATAGTCTTGCACACAATCATTATTAATCTATGGCATAATTATCAAATAACAAGAGACTGTGGCTGAGGTGCTGTGTTAAGCTGGTAAGGACTTATGACTGAGATGATGCCATGGCTGAATCAAAGAAGGGCTGAAATTAACAACCAAATTAACAACCAACAGCAAAAAGAGACAGAGAAGAGGATGTGACCCACATCAAAAAGATATTGGGGATGGAATCAGGAGTGAAGTTGCAGCTAAAACCAACCAACTGCATTTTTTTGCTGGAATCAGAAGTAAGCCACCAGAATTATCTTTTAGCCGCAACCATGTTGAAGCAGCAAGAATCATGTAAGGTGACTAGTAAAGCAAGAGCTCATAACAAAACGCCACTTTCCAGAGATAGGTGGTGGCATCACCACTGGCAGGAGATCATGGTAGGATAACACGCATAATTTGCGAGGTTGACCACACATAGAACTTTTGGATTTGACTAATTTGGCCATTAATAATCAAAAGTTTCAGAATTATAGAACAGAAATGAGTTTTTTTTAGTGAGATTGATTTATTTGACATTAGAAATAAGAAATACAGAAAAAGTAAGAAGTCTTTCTAATCTGGGGGATGAGCCAATTTGGCTTACAAAAATAAACCTGACCAATCTCTTAACATATCATCTAATATAAAAACAAGTTGAAACCTATGAACAGAAATAGAAATCCCAAGCCACCACTCACCTACTCCACATTCCCAAACACAATACTGGTATTGCAACTACTTGTCAAGGCATTTTAGTATGTATCTATGCATTGTTAAGGTATTCAGAAATAAATTGTTTGATTTAATTTTAAAAAATGGGGGGAAATGGTATTAGGTTAAATTACCTCATCAGATGGATCTGAAAGTGCTTTTAGTAGGGTGTCAAATATGTCATTCAGGTATATCAAAACCTGTTTCACACAAGGAATCAGTTGTGAGTCATCGTCAACAAAATCTCTATCATATGGGCATATAGGTAATAGCACCATTACAAAACACTTCATTTCGAGTGAAAAAAATTAGTACTCGGATAAGGGTTTGACAATTAGAAAAATAAAGTTTCAGAGAAAAGGAAGAGAAAGCCAAACAATAAATTGGTAGCCAAACTGTATGTTATTCAATCCTCATAACCAAAACAATAAATTGAAGTATTCATGATTCATTGGCTCTTGGACTGATGGTGAATCTATAATCAAAAACCTATGAAGTAGGGCATAGACAACAGAATGATTCCAGAGCCAGTAATGTCAAAATGGGCATGCCATTGAGCTCTTTGATATAGACATTGAGAAGGATATTAATATAGCAGCCTTAATATATCAAAATGGAAGATAAAAATAATCTAGTCACCTCAATACGATGTCTGTTTAGGAGGATTGATATCCAGTGCAAAGCTTCAATTCGAGTAGCCTCCCATTCACTAGATAGTTGCCTAACAAGCAAACCATTCCCAAAATCATTTCACAGAATAATCAGTGCAAACTAGAGTTGGTTAAACAATAAGGACCCTCGTGATTATTTCCCCAGTAGCATCACTGGTGTTCACCACTGTAAAAAATCATTTATTTTCAGTTACAAGTATTTTGAACTTCAAACCTAGCCTTATTCCCAGGTTAGAAAAACTACACCTCCTTGCAATGGAGAGGATTGCTCCTACATCGAATGCTTCAGCTGGATTAGCATTGATTGCTCGTAGCTCTTCATTGGTTTCCCGGGCAACCTTACAAATAAGCGATATTATTTGTAATTCATTACTGTACATGTCAGGCAACACTAAAATATGGGACAAAATGGAGAATTTAAAAACTAAATTGCAAAAAAAAAATGTGAGAAGGAAACTAGCTTACGACTCTAATTTTCTCTTCTTTATCGGATATGCAAGGCAAAATGGCTCCAAGAATGTCAGCATAATATGGAACAAGCTGGTCTCCACCAAGTTTGACAAACTCATTTATCTGTTCAAATAAAAAAGCAGACATTATTTGGGAAAAATGATTAGCAACAAAACAATATTCCCTTCGTTTCAAAATGACTGTCGTTTAAGGTTTTTGCACACAGATTAAGAAATGCAATAATATTGTCATAAGACATTATATTTTTACAAAATCAACCTTATTAATGTATTGGAAGTAGTGTCCAAAGTAAAAAGTAAAGGACACAATTGGAAAAATGGTAATCATTACTACATTGAAAAGTAAAAATGACAGTTATTTTGAAACAAATTTTATTTGCTAAAACGACAGTCATTTTGAAACGGAGGGAGTAACTAATAATTTTGACAAGATAACAACACGAAGCAAAACTCTGATGAAAGTAAAGACGTGTTTAACAAAATCAAAACATAGCAATGCCACGTACCCATGTGATAGCTGTTAATCTCGTAAATTCATCCGGAGAACTAGCTCTTTGTACCAGTATTTCAGCCATTCGGCCATAATCTACAGACTTCAAGAGTAGCACTGCTTGAGTCAGAAAATGACAAATGAACAAAACATGTTGCTTTTGTTTCAATAGAGTACGTGAAATGATGCACATCATAGTTAATCAACACAAAATGCACCCAAAAAAAGAGCAATCGGCAAATAGACGAATCATTAAACATTGGAAACCTACAAAGTGGATATTAGATGCGCAATTAAATCTTCCCCAGAGAAATAATAGGAAAAAATAATGACATAAAAGCAGAACTGGCATCTGAATCAGCTTATAAGAAAAGATTTGCTACTCACATAAAATGTACAAAAGACTTGATACGCACAGCATTTGTAAAAAGTATATTAGCAGAAACCTTACTGGGGAGTTCTTTATCTCTTGAAGAAACTCCGAAAGAGCTGAATCAGCTTGTTGACGTATTTCATGACTTGAATCACTCAACATATTAAACAAACCTGAGGCATTTATAAACTATTAGATGGTTTATTGATTCTGTAAACTCATTTATCAATTTATACACTTACCATCAAGAAAATCAGGAAGAAAACCCAGCATATCAATATCTGGTACGCTGTCCAATACAGTAATCCATCCTACCAAAAATTGGCGGACATATGGATTAAGTACATTCATGCGCTCCCTCAATAATGGTATAAATTCTTCAATACTGAAATATCAAGAAACGAAAGTGGAGAAGTATGAAGCACTATAAGTTACATAGAGAGATCCACATATCAACAAGTCTCTTTGAAACACATGATAGTCGTACATAGTAGCATATAGCTTAACAATGAGAAGAGAGTGCACCTGAACTGATCACTTTCGGTCACAATATCCTGCGTTAATAGATTAAAATATAATCAATAGTTAATCTAAAAGGATTTGAATCATTAATTGATAAACCTATATTCAGAAAATATTTGGTGTCTGAACGCACGTAGGACTCCTAAAAGGCAGGTTGGAGTTCGGGAGAAACTTATTATACCTTTACGAGTCGATCCAAGAGATGTGCAGCACTTTGTACATTGGCATCTGAATCTGCAGAAAGCTTGCATAAGGCATCAAAGATCTGGTTGAAGAATACAATAAAATCTCCTCTCACAACCTAGCATCAAAACAGGGTTCACATTGGCTGATTGGAATATCATCGTATAAAAGCTTTAGATAGGTAAGCATAATTAACTCCTCACCTTGGCAATGTTATATAGTGCTTCACAGGCATAATAACGAACTCTGCTATCTTGATCCGAGAAAGAATTTAACACAGGAGGCACAATTTGCTATCAAACAAACGATATGTAGGTTAAGAACAACGAAAATGAAAACATAAAACACATGAAATATGCATAATACACACTCACTCTCATTTAACACATGCCTCCTCCAGTACACATGTGTGGAGACACATCAACTAAGCTCTCAATAAAATAGAATAATAAGTGTAATAGTAGTAGCACCAGTAGTAATACATGCATGCGATAAATTCAACTAACAAGAAGATATGTTAACTAATAAATAGATATACTCTAGCTTGATAAAAATTCACATATTTAAATTTTATCCCTTGAGGTTAAAGCTATTGTGTTTCTCGAAGTTCATCCAAAAATATTAAATCGTGCTAAAATCAACTTAACCAAGATACATGAGAGGTGGCATTTGACAAGAATAGGAGAATCACACCATATTATTCCATGCACTGGCTTGCGGTCGTAGTTGTGATTTCAGTATGAAGTAGATTTCCAAAATTCTGTGTTCTTACTCAATAGGAGGGGAAAATGTGTTGCATATACTAAAGAAAGGATTCAATGCACCGTGAAAAAATGAATGTTTCAACCCCTTCTATGAGATAAACTGGGATGGTTATATGAAATTTTAAACCAAGATACTTTCTTATATTGATTTCTACATACCATAGCCACCTGGCTTGAAATTCACTTTGTCACATGGTAGGAGTTCAGGTACGCGGTAGGTAACTCTTGAAGAATTGGGTACATTGGGGTATTCATAGTCGGCACATTATCGGTACTTTTTTACCTAGTCTGGTTTAAAATAATAAAGTACAAGTTAAAATGTACTAAAAGACTAAATTTATAATGTGTTAAGTCAGTAAGCAAGTAGGAAGTGGAATAAAGCTTCCTTTAATTTTATATAATTATTACTAAAGGAATTATTACTAATTGATTTAACAATTATAAAAGAGAGTAAAAAAGTAAAAGCTAACAAGATTTGTGTAACACGGAATGTAGATATGGCATATGTATAGTCTCTTATTCAAGCTTTCAAATATAACAATAGTCCTACATCGGGGAGTTTATAAACATTAGAGTGGAGGATTGTCTAAAAAAGAAGAAGTGCATTACAAGGTGAAGTGAAATTGGTAGGGAGTAAAGTGTGCGCTATAATTATTTCTTACAATTGGGTTAGGCAAGTCAAATGCTGCAATTAGGCAACTAGGAGCACACCGTAATGAAGGCGGAATTTCCACCACAGCCCTTCAAGCTCAAGTCTAAATGAGCCTGAAGCGTGAACAATGCAGGAAGCCCAGCAACAGATCTCAATGAAACCATCTTAGAACGGGTTTTGACTCATTCCTACAAAACCGTTATAAGGTGGAGACTGCCCAAGCTTTATAAGCACTACACAGGTCATATCTCTAAACAATGTGGGACTAAATTCACCCCCTTCAAACCCAACACAATGAAGGTGTTGGAGGCTGCAATGAAGGCAAGTCAAATGTTGCAATTAGGAGACTAAGGGAGGACCGCAATGAAGGCGGAAGTTCCATGCTAATTCATATGGGGGGTGATTAATCTTTCATGAATGTCAAGCACTATTTAACAGAGACATTACCATGCTCATTCATATGGGGAGTGATTAACCTCTCTAGTACATGATATTCTACAAATTGTATATGAATTTTCAATGTCAAAATGTTAAAAGTACTGCAATTTGGTACTTGTGAATTGGTTCGCAGTGTGCAGATTACTGAGTGAATTATGTGACGATGCTACATACAGATAACCTATGTGATTCATCAAAGCCTTCCTCTAACCCTCAACAGAGAGTTGCTCAAGAAACCCCTCATTTCTTCGCAATGTAACAACAGACTAATCCAAACAATGTTTTAACGAAGATAGGAACTTGAGTATTATGAGGTGTCTTAGACTTAATCCCACACTATTGGTATGGGATGCTCAGTGGAGTACTTAATTGGCTTGGTTCTACCCATTTGATAGTTAGCTTTAGCACTCATCAATTGGTGCAGTACTTAAGTGACTTGGTTCTTCTTCCCCTTGCTACCCAGCCTTTAATGAAGTGTTCTCCAATTGCTTAGTACTTATCAATTTTCACTAACACTAACGTATGATGGCAAACACATCTCCTGAGGCTTATCCGCGACATCCAATTGCAAGGGCGCGAGTTAATCCGCGACATACCACATCTTCACTTTTAAGGGGTGAAATTCTCATCATTAAGCTACTAGACCAAAAATAAAATAACTTGTAAGCAATCCTCACCTCAAGATGCTGAGCAGCTTCATTAGTCAACCCAACCGTAGCAGCAGCTAAGCTTATCAAGCCTCCCTTCATCAAATTAAAAACAAAAAACATAACAAGCTCAAATCGTAAAAAGAAAGCAATAACAAATCCCAAAAAATTAAAAACAAGTTTAACCTACCTTGCGATGATTTGCTTGGGGCGAATAAGTAAATTCCGTAGTCAACAAAGTAATCACAGAGGTAATCTTATCATGATCACCAGCAGAAGCAAGCTGCTTCACAATCCCCTCAACCTATCACCAAAGCCCTCAAAATTCACCAAATTGCAATAATAACCAACAAACACAAATAAAAAATCACGATGAATGATAAAAATCACAAAACCTCAAGAGCAGCATTTTTGCGTTTCTCATAGAGTTTATCGGCAAGGTTACGGAGCACGGCCGCCGGCATCACCGAGAGAGCTTCCGCCATGAAAACAGCTTCACGATCGAAAACACAAATTTCCCAACAAATTTCCAAATATAAATAAACAAATTGAAGTTTGCAATAATGGCTAAATGAAAATCAAATTCGCTTGCGGATCTTTTCCTGCTCGAAACGAAACATTGCGGTTTCCGTTTCGAGAATGGAAACTCGCAAATTTAGCGAGGTTTTCGTGGCGAATTGATGAGTTTGGATTCACGCGGAAATGCGATTCAGTAGGAGAATCGAAAATCAGATCTATGAATTAAGAAAATTGGAATTGAAACCTAGAAATTTTTCCTCGTGTGTCAATTTTTCGTGGGGAGTTTCCGTTTGTGAAATTTTAGTTGAAATTCAAGTTAAATGAAATTTGGAGTTTCCTTTTTTTAAGATTTAAGATAATAATGATAATTAAGCAGTGAAAATGAGTGAGCGCTTTTGTTTCTTCGAAACTCTTGACTATATATATCCTTAACTTATTTATTACCACTTTGTCACGTTTTATAAGTATAGACTATATAGTATATAGTAGTATATATTAAAATTTTGATTACTTTTGGTTTTGGCTACGGACGGTCAAACGCGTCCGATCGTCCAATATATTTACTATTTAAAATTTAAACTTTATAGATTTTATTTTTTTATGGTAGTATTTCGTATTAAATCGCAAATGAAACTCTTTTATGTAAAATTGTTAATTTAGATGATTTTAAATGATTTAAATCACTGTAAAATTGATAAAATGATGTATAATCGTTAGATTTTCCTCTTTGATTCGATTTTATTTTTTTTGTAAGTTTTAAAAAACACATTTTATTGTTTGCTCATAAAAATTTCTCTCAATTTTTTAATTTTTTTCACATTCATATATTGATTAATATTGAAGAATATTTATCATCTAGATGAATTAAATCAAGTTGAATATTAATACACTAACGAAGATGATGTTGTAAAAGAATTAAACTTTTGATCAAATTGAAGATTACGATAAAAACACTTATTTTTTTGAGTTTGAAAAACTTATGAAACTCTTAATTTTTGAAATAATCTTTTGGATATTACTTTTTATGATTTGATAGAGTAATTTATATAATTTGATACAAATTTGTAAATATTACATTTTATTATAGCGATATAGTATATTTTTATTTTATAATTAAGTTAAAATTTTAAATTATTAATGTATTTACAATATTATATATATATATATATATATATATATATATATATATATATATATATATATATATATATATATATATATATATATATATATATATATATATATATATATATATATATATATATATATATATATATATATATATATATATATATATATATATATATATATATATATATATATATAAATTGAATATTATTTTAATATCATTACAATAAATAAGGCATTTCATGACATAACTTTCACGTCATCCAGAAAAACAATGAGGTATTAAGTCTAGGCGTGCCATGTTTTATATTTTTTTAATTATAAAAATAACAATTTACCTCGATTTTTAATATATCTAACAGGCAAAACTGATATGGACGCGCTTCGAATCCAAACTTTTAGAGTGTATGTTTTATATTGATAATAATCGTATACTAAAACAACTAACATTTTGGTTTTTCTATATAATCGATGGATCAACTAAACAAATTTCACTATAAAAGCAAAAAGACTTTATCATAATCCTTACTTATTTGTAGTCGCCTCAAACTCACAAGCATCATTCTTTTTGGATGGATTGCAAGACAGAAAAATCCTCAATGTTCTTATAGACAAAAAGTTTTTTCTGTCCGTGCAATCTATCTCACATAATGGTGTTGATGTTGTTGTTTTTGTATTTTTGCTCATTTGATAAATTGCAAGTACAGAAAAGTCATTCTTCATTCAAGGGGACAATAAAGGAAGCTTCATTCTATTTTAAAATTGTACACAATAAAATGAAGAGAGCTTAACTAATCGGATGATGGATATCAGCAAAGATATTCATTCAAAAGAGCAAAGATTTATTTTAAACTATTTATTTTAATATTTTGTGTAAACAATATAAATTCCAAAGCAAAACAAAAAACCTTTTCACCTAGGTTTTTAAAAACGAGGTGATAGCTATAATCAGCAGATTTTATACCTGAATTTTATGATAAAGTTGAGGTATAAAGTTATCATATTTTACTATAAATATCTTTATTAAACAGATTTTACCCTAATTCTAACTAAAATATAACCGCACATAATAAAAGGAAATATTTACCACTGTCCATTGTCATGAAAACTTTTGATCTAGAATCTCTGAGATGAATTGTGTAACACCTCATTTCTATCCGGCGAATATTATTAAAACTAGAGTTACAAAATTTCGACATACAAATAGGATACTACACTTACAACTTATAACAACGGCATTTAATCACATGTAAAACATATACATAACACTTAAAACCTGGATGAACCGATAGCAACGTAAAGTAGTCTTTGAAAACAAAACAACTTTATAATTAAACAGCGGAATCACAATTTTCAACTCAAATGACATAACATTTTTGTCCAACTGAAAACAACTTCAAAACAACAAGTACTTAACGAAAACAACTTAAAATTTAGCAACGGAAGTAAAATCAACAATAAAGCAACAAGCGTTCATCCCCCTGAGTGTTACGTATTAGAGCAACGACACCGACTTGAACTAATGAAGGTAAACAACCTTCACTCTGGATTACCTACATGTTACCAACTTAGGGGTAACATTCAAATAGAATGGGTGAGATATCGAACAATATAATCGGATGTATCATAAATAATATATTAGAATTAGTTCATGCAAAATCACTGCTTCATAACTTTTAAATGACATCCATTACGACTAAGTCATCAACGTAATATTATAACTAATTCATCATCACAACAACTCAAGATGCAACATGAAATGCGACTTGTCATGATACACATGCATGTGGTACCAATAGAGCATAAGTCCCCAACTTAATATTTGCCAATTAATATAGGCATCAACAAGACATAAGCCTTCAACTTCAAATCTTGCCAATCCAGACCAACTTACAGAGCACGAGCTCCCATATGTAATACGATGTATGCAACAACATGATGAATATAACGATAATGACAATAACAATCCAACACTGGCATAAGCCTACAACCTGGTTTCTGCCAATCAATAAAGGAAACACAACAAAATTCATCACCACCTACAAATTAACAATTTAATTTCAACATCATATCAACATATACAATTCCTCGTCTTAACTGAAATATATATTACAAACATTCTACGTAATTATTCGGGCAATTCGACTATATCCAGCTAAATAGTTTTCTGCTAAAATACTAATGTTTTCGTTTCTGCACACCTATTTCCAATTCCATACGGTTTACTGCTAGTCACTTATTAATTATTTCATCTTTGTTACTAGCTACTAATTTGTTCTCATATTAATCTATTACCAATACTGCTACTAAAAGTTCTACTAAATTACTTCTACTGATAACCTTATTAATAGTTCTCTGCTAATTATTAATTCTACTATATCTCCTACTACTAACTTATATCTATTAGTAACCCATTAATTATTTAGGGGGTAAATTACCTTAAGAACTCTAATTATCATGCTAAGAATGTTAAACGAAATAATTAACCAATTAGCACACACAGGAGCAAAAAGGGAATAAGAAAAACATGTGCCCCCTGGCACAATAACCCTGTCGCTCGGCACTCCCTCCCCTTTTTTTCCTCTGTGCCGATCGGCACACACACCATGCCCCTCGGCACAACATGTTTTTCAGCCCCCTCACAGACTTCTGTCTGTTACTGATACTAACACAAAATTTTCCAAATTTTTCTTCGATTATCAGCATATTCACAACAACATGATACACTGCAGTATACAACAAATAGATCAATAGAAAGAAACAATTGCCAACAAAGATATTTCATCAATTGTACAGGATAACTATGCAGACAATTTCATAAGTAGCCACCACATAGTAACAAACAAATGCAGATACAGCTACAATAATTATACGCACAAAAAAACAATTCTGCACAACCCAATCCCTACACAATATCCATCATAATTCCCGTTATAGAGTCAAAACCCCGCCCTTATCTTAGTTTGAAGGTCGCTCTAACTCTCCAATCGAAAACCTGGCTTTGCCTCTTTTCTATTCCTCTTCTCTGCAACTTCCTACGGTACTGCTCCAAGACTTTCTTAATCTTTCTAATTAACCTAATTCTTATATCAACTTAACCTTATTTCATTAATCCTATTGGGCCTAACTTACAACCCCCCCCCCCCCCCCCCCACCTTAATACGTACAACCATATAAATATGCCCAACAACTTAATCTTATATTATTATACTATTATTGCTAATATTAATCAACTAAAATAATCAATCAAATAACAACTTAGCAACATATAGAAACATTTCACACATTTCAACAAATAATTCGAAAATAATTTAATTAAATAATTAATTAAATATCGGGCGTTACAGATTGCAAGTGTAAAAAATAAAATAGCTTATCCGAAGTTGGATAAGTTATGGAGTGCTTTTTGGATATGCAACATAAAGGTATGCAACAAAATTTGGATTCCACCAAAAATCTGTTGTTGAAAACACTTTTACCTTTTCTTTTGTCTACCAAATTCAGTTACTCTACCAAATTCCTTCTCTAGAACATTCAGTGTTCATACTTTAAAAATAATGATGATTGATGATTGTGTGTGGTTTACTATTAATTTGCAAAACTAGGCTGAATAAAGGATATGCTTTGTTAATTTCATTAAGCCTAAATCAAAAGTGGGAATTTGTGTAATATTATGTTTTAATATTCTTTGTAAACAATATAACTTTAAAAAAAATAAAAATATCTTGCACCTCGGTGTTCCTAAAAACCGAGGAGATACTTTAGCATTAAAGTTAAGGATATTTGTCATCGTCCTTAATCAAATCCTTGTTGTCCATTTCATGACTATCAATGCTCA